CCAGCACTCTTTTTTTATATTTAAAAAAAAACAAAATTCCTAGCCTTTCCGGTGGATCACTAGGCTCGTGGATCGATGAAGAACGCAGCAAACTGCGATAAGTTTTGCGAACTGCAGCAGCCTTGAGCATAAAAGTTTTGAACGCATATTGCCGCATAGGGGTCAAACCCTTTGCTATGTCTGGTTCAGGGTCATTATCTTTCAAAGCGAAAGCTTTATTGTATAATTGCTTTTGTGGCTTCTTTATGTTTTAAATTGATTGTTAGATATGTTTAATTGTTCGCATGTATCATCAACAATATTGATTTTTTGACCTGAACTCAGTCGAGAGCACCCGCTGAACTTAAGCATATCAGTAAGCGGAGGAAAAGAAACTAAACAGGATTCCCCTAGTAACGGCGAGTGAATAGGGAAATGTCCATCGCTAAATCATTTTGCCTAAGGCATTATGAGGTGTAGCGTATAAGCCGTAATTTTTAATCTTTTGTCTCAAATAAGTCCCCTTGACAGGGGTTCCACAGAAGGTGCAAGTCCTGTACATTGAGATAATTGATCGATATTTACGTGCTTTAGAGTCGGGTTGTTTGGGATCGCAGCCCAAAGTCGGTGGTAAACTTCATCTAAGACTCAATATTGCCACGAGACCGATAGCAAACAAGTACTGTGAAGGAAAGTTGCAAAGCACTTTGAAGAGAGAGTTAAAGAGGACGTAAACCGGAGAGGTGGAAACGGATAGAGTCGGCGTATCTTTCAAGTATTCATTTACATTATTTTTATGTTGTGATCTCTGAGCTCCAGATTGGGACAGAAAGAAGCATCATAATTTTCTGTGATGCATTTGCTTGTTTGGTGCTTGGGGATGTTTGAGGCAGATTTGTAACCGCCGTTTTGAGGCCAGCTTGCTGGTACCCAAACAGCGTTAGCATCTTTTGTCTTGGACATTTGAGTATGGTTTACGGGCATTTATTGGTTCGATCTGATTGTAAGTTACGGTCGCATGCGACACGTGCTTTTCATTTAGATCGGTCCAGTTAATGCTCTCGTACTCGCTCCCCATGTAAAAGCCGGTCATCTATCCGACCCGTCTTGAAACACGGACCAAGGAGTTTATCGTGTGCGCAAGTTTTTGGGTGTTAAAAACCTAAAAGCGAAATGAAAGTAAATGGCTCTTTAGAGTCTGACGTGCGATCTTGTAAAAAAGGGCAGCATGGCCCCATTCTAACTGTTTACAGTAGGGTGGAGGAAGAGCGTACGCGGTGAGACCCGAAAGATGGTGAACTATTCCTGAGCAGGACGAAGCCAGAGGAAACTCTGGTGGAAGTCCGAAGCGGTTCTGACGTGCAAATCGATCGTCTGACTTGGGTATAGGGGCGAAAGACTAATCGAACCATCTAGTAGCTGGTTCCCTCTGAAGTTTCCCCCAGGATAGCTGGAGCTCATTAGTAGTTATACTCGGTAAAGCGAATGATTAGAGGACTTGGGAACGAAATGTTCTTAACCTATTCTCAAACTCTAAATGGGTATGATGTCAAAGTTGCTTGATTTTGAACTTTGGCGTTGAATACGAGTTCCAAGTGGGCCATTTTTGGTAAGCAGAACTGGCGATGTGGGATGAACCAAACGCGGAGTTGAGGTGCCAAAGTGCCCGCTCATTAGACACCATAAAAGGTGTTGGTTGATACAGACAGCAGGACGGTGGCCATGGAAGTCGGAATCCGCTAAGGAGTGTGTAACAACTCACCTGCCGAATCAACTAGCCCTGAAAATGGATGGCGCTGGAGCGGGCCACCTATACTCTGCCGTCATATGCTTGTATTTTCCGTGAAAAGTCTTGCAATGACGTGTAAGAGGGTCGTAGTGGTTGCAATGAAGGCTTTGGGTGTGCACCCAGCTGGAGCTTCCACTAGTGCAGATCTTGGTGGTAGTAGCAAATATTCAAGTGAGATCCTTGAAGACTGAAGTGGAGAAGGGTTCCACGTGAACAGTAGTTGAATGTGGGTCAGTCGATCCTAAGGCACCGGCTAAAGCCGTCTAGACACTGCGGGGAGATGAGATACTTAACGGTATATTGTCTACTCGGTTGCCGAAAGGGAAGTGGGTTAATATTCCCACACCAGGCATGGGAGATGGTGATCCGCAAGGATTACTTTGCGCGGTGACGCAAACGAACTCGTAGACCTCGTGTGGAGTCCGGGCCAGAGTTCTCTTTTCTGGTTTAGAGATCATGTCCCTGGAAGTGGCTCAGCCTGAGATAGGGATGCTGGTCTCGTAAAGCGCAGCGGTTCCTGTTGTGTCCCGTGTGCTCCACATGAGCCGTGAAAATACGAGGGAGGCAATTTAAAATCTCCAGCCTGATCGTACCCATATCCGCAGCAGGTCTCCAAGGTGAACAGCCTCTAGTCGATAGAATAATGTAGGTAAGGGAAGTCGGCAAATTAGATTCGTAACTTCGGGAAAAGAATTGGCTCTAAAGGTTGGGTCAGTCGGGCTGTTGTGTGAAACAGGTGGACTTTGCTCGTGGCTGCTTGATCTTCCCTTCGGGGCGGCGCTTGTGGACTAGTAGTGAGGACTGCTTGTGGAGCGCTTCAGCTGCGTACTATTTCGCAAGATATAGTACTTCGATTGGCGCTGAACAACCAGTTTAGAACTGGCACGAACTCCGGGAATCCGACTGTCTAATTAAAACAGAGGAGACGGATGGTCTTTGCAGGACGTTGACCGTGTCTGATTTCTGCCCAGTGCTCTGAATGTTAAGCCAAGGAAACTTGATTAAGCGCGGGTAAACGGCGGGAGTAACTATGACTCTCTTAAGGTAGCCAAATGCCTCGTCGGCTAACTACCGACGCGCACGAATGGATCAACGAGATTCCCACTGTCCCTATCTACTATCTAGCGAAACCACAGCCAAGGGAACGGGCTTGGCAAATTTAGCGGGGAAAGAAGACCCTGTTGAGCTTGACTCTAGTCTGACTTTGTGAAGAATCATGAGAGGTGTAGCATAAGTGGGAGTCGTAAGACAACAGTGAAATACCACTACTTTCATCGATTCCTTACTTAATCGGTAAAACGGGAGTTGTGTCTACGGACCTTCATTTTTGTTTTAAGACTAGCCACTCGGTGGTTGGTTGACTCGCGCCGTTGACATTGTCAGGCGGGGAGTTTGACTGGGGCGGTACATCTGTCAAATTGTAACGCAGGTGTCCTAAGGCGAGCTCAGAGAGGACGGAAACCTCTCGTTGAGCAAAAAGGCAAATGCTTACTTGATCTTGATTTTCAGTACGAATACAGACCGCGAAAGCGTGGCTTATCGATCCTTTTGAGTTTGTAAAGTTTACAGCAAGAGGTGTCAGAAAAGTTACCACAGGGATAACTGGCTTGTGGCGGCCAAGCGTCCATAGCGACGTCGCTTTTTAATCCTTCGATGTCGGCTCTTCCTATCATTGCGAAGCAGAATTCGCCAAGCGTTGGATTGTTCACCCACCAATAGGTAATCCTGCTTAGTACGATCCTGCTTAGTAATCCTGCTTAGTACGAGAGGAACCGCAGGTTCAGACATTTGGTTCATGTGCTTGGTCGATAGGCCAATGGCGCGAAGCTACCATCTGAGGGATTATGACTGAACGCCTCTAAGTCAGAATCCCGCCCAGTCATGATAGCAATATATATCGCTCTCCGGTGTCGGAAGGCAAAATGTATGCCACTTTTTGTGGTAGTACAAGCCCCAGTATCTGGCATTTTCTTTCTACTATAATTGGTAGTTGTTTGCTAAAAGCTTAGCACTCCACGTGCAGGTGTAACGTCGGGGCGCAAAATCACTTGTATACGACTTGAATACTGGTCAGGGGGTTGTAAACAGTAGAGCAGCTCTTCGCTGCGATCTGCTGAGACTTAGCCCTTGATCGGATGATTTGTCTTTTTTATATACTATAGACATGTTTATCCAAGTGCCGTAGGCCAGAGTGCATTGTCAAAAGTAGACCCAGGCAATCAAATTTCACCAGGCATTTTTGGTTTATGAGTCTGTGACGATCCGATTAAAAATTGCCTCAGGCAAAGTAGACCAAAGTGCAATTGACCAAGTGTCGTAGGGTAATAGGGTTCCCCCAGGCAATCAAATTTCACCAGGCATTTTTGGTTTATGAGTCTGTGACGATCCGATTAAAAATTGCCTCAGGCAAAGTAGACCAAAGTGCAATTGACCAAGTGTCGTAGGGTAATAGGGTTCCCCCAGGCAATCAAATTTCACCAGGCATTTTTGGTTTATGAGTCTGTGACGATCCGATTAAAAATTGCCTCAGGCAAAGTAGACCAAAGTGCAATTGACCAAGTGTCGTAGGGTAATAGGGTTCCCCCAGGCAATCAAATTTCACCAGGCATTTTTGGTTTATGAGTCTGTGACGATCCGATTAAAAATTGCCTCAGGCAAAGTAGACCAAAGTGCAATTGACCAAGTGTCGTAGGGTAATAGGGTTCCCCCAGGCAATCAAATTTCACCAGGCATTTTTGGTTTATGAGTCTGTGACGATCCGATTAAAAATTGCCTCAGGCAAAGTAGACCAAAGTGCAATTGACCAAGTGTCGTAGGGTAATAGGGTTCCCCCAGGCAATCAAATTTCACCAGGCATTTTTGGTTTATGAGTCTGTGACGATCCGATTAAAAATTGCCTCAGGCAAAGTAGACCAAAGTGCAATTGACCAAGTGTCGTAGGGTAATAGGGTTCCCCCAGGCAATAATTATCTACTCAAGTATACTCAAGTAAAAATCATTTACTCAAGTATAAAATCATTTACTCAATTATACTCAAGTAAAAGGTATGTATATAATATAGGGTTCCCCCAGGCAATCATTATCTACTCAATTATACTCAAGTAAAAGGTATGTACATGATAAACTACAATTTATAAAAAACTTAAATAATTGTTTTCTATAGACTCAAGTGTGTTTTCTTAGACTCAAATTTTTGCCAAAGCATTAAAAAAAGATTACGACTACCTAAATAAAAGATATCTGGTTGATCCTGCCTGAACTGATGTGTTCATTTCAAAGATTAAGCCATGCATGTATAAGTTTAATCGTTTTAACGAGAAACCGCGAACGGCTCATTACAATGGCCATGATTTACTTGATCTTGATTATCTAAATGGATAACTGTGGAAAAGCTAGAGCTAATACATGCACCAGAGCTTTGTCCTCTCGGAAAAGCGCATTTATTAGAACAAAACCACGCGGCTTCGGCTGCTTCTTGTTGACTCAGAAAAACTAAGCTGACCGCATGGCCTTGTGCCGGCGGCGTGTCTTTCAAGCGTCCACTTTATCAACTTGACGGGAGCATAATCGACTCCCGTGGTGGTGACGGATAACGGAGGATCAGGGTTCGACTCCGGAGAAGGGGCCTGAGAAATGGCCACTACGTCTAAGGATGGCAGCAGGCGCGCAAATTACCCACTCTCGGCTCGAGGAGGTAGTGACGAGAAATAACGAGACTGTTCTCTTTGAGGCCGGTCATCGGAATGGGTACAATTTAAACCCTTTAACGAGTATCAAGCAGAGGGCAAGTCTGGTGCCAGCAGCCGCGGTAATTCCAGCTCTGCTAATACATAGAATTATTGCTGCGGTTAAAAAGCTCGTAGTTGGATTCGTATCGGTACCTTGGAACCCTTCGGGTGTTTCTGGGTGTTATCGATTTATCGTAATGTTCGGTTTTGAGTCCTTAACAGGATTTTTAACAGTCATTGCAAGTTTACTTTGAACAAATCAGAGTGCTTCAAACAGGCGTTTTCGCTTGAATGATCGTGCATGGAATAATAGAAAACGATTTCGGTTCAGTTTTATTGGTTTTACGGACTGAGATAATGGTTAACAATAGACAAACGGGGGCATTTGTATGGCCCCGTGAGAGGTGAAATTCTTGGACCGTGGCCAGACAAACTACAGCGAAAGCATTTGCCAAGAATGTCTTCATTAATCAAGAACGAAAGTCAGAGGTTCGAAGGCGATCAGATACCGCCCTAGTTCTGACCGTAAACGATGCCAACTAGCGATCCGCTGATGGAAATTATATTGCCTTGGTGGGGAGCTTCCCGGAAACGAAAGTCTTCCGGTTCCGGGGGAAGTATGGTTGCAAAGCTGAAACTTAAAGGAATTGACGGAAGGGCACCACCAGGAGTGGAGCCTGCGGCTTAATTTGACTCAACACGGGGAAACTCACCCGGCCCGGACACTGTGAGGATTGACAGATTGATAGCTTTTTCATGATTCAGTGGATGGTGGTGCATGGCCGTTCTTAGTTCGTGGAGTGATTTGTCTGGTTTATTCCGATAACGAGCGAGACTCTAACCTACTAAATAGTTGGTACATACTCTTTGTGTATACAGCTTCTTAGAGGGATTTGCGGCGTTCAGCCGAAAGAAATTGAGCAATAACAGGTCTGTGATGCCCTTAGATGTCCGGGGCTGCACGCGCGCTACACTGGCAAAATCAACGTGCTTGTCCTACCCTGAAAGGGGCGGGTAAACCATTGAAAATTTGCCGTGATTGGGATCGGAAATTGCAATTATTTTCCGTGAACGAGGAATTCCAAGTAAGTGCGAGTCATCAGCTCGCGTTGATTACGTCCCTGCCCTTTGTACACACCGCCCGTCGCTGCCCGGGACTGAGCCATTTCGAGAAATTTGGGGACCGTTGATTTAATTTATCTAAATTATTTTGATGGAAACCAATTTAATCGCAGTGGCTTGAACCGGGCAAAAGTCGTAACAAGGTAGCTGTAGGTGAACCTGCTGCTGGATCATTACTTTATGTGATGTTCAATTTTGAATCGCAATGAAATAATTGTTGTGTAACGGCTGTCGCTGGTGTCTAGGTGTTGCTGATACAGTTGTGAACGTCCGTGGCTGTATATGTGGTGACATGTTAGGACTATAATGAGTTTAAGACTTAATGAGCCTCTTAAGTGAGGACGCCAGCACTCTTTTTTTATATTTTAAAAAAAACAAAATTCCTAGCCTTTCCGGTGGATCACTAGGCTCGTGGATCGATGAAGAACGCAGCAAACTGCGATAAGTTTTGCGAACTGCAGCAGCCTTGAGCATAAAAGTTTTGAACGCATATTGCCGCATAGGGGTCAAACCTATTCTCAAACTCTAAATGGGTATGATGTCAAAGTTGCTTGATTTTGAACTTTGGCGTTGAATACGAGTTCCAAGTGGGCCATTTTTGGTAAGCAGAACTGGCGATGTGGGATGAACCAAACGCGGAGTTGAGGTGCCAAAGTGCCCGCTCATTAGACACCATAAAAGGTGTTGGTTGATACAGACAGCAGGACGGTGGCCATGGAAGTCGGAATCCGCTAAGGAGTGTGTAACAACTCACCTGCCGAATCAACTAGCCCTGAAAATGGATGGCGCTGGAGCGGGCCACCTATACTCTGCCGTCATATGCTTGTATTTTCCGTGAAAAGTCTTGCAATGACGTGTAAGAGGGTCGTAGTGGTTGCAATGAAGGCTTTGGGTGTGCACCCAGCTGGAGCTTCCACTAGTGCAGATTTTGGTGGTAGTAGCAAATATTCAAGTGAGATCCTTGAAGACTGAAGTGGAGAAGGGTTCCACGTGAACAGTAGTTGAATGTGGGTCAGTCGATCCTAAGGCACCGGCTAAAGCCGTCTAGACACTGCGGGGAGATGAGATACTTAACGGTATATTGTCTACTCGGTTGCCGAAAGGGAAGTGGGTTAATATTCCCACACCAGGCATGGGAGATGGTGATCCGCAAGGATTACTTTGCGCGGTGACGCAAACGAACTCGTAGACCTCGTGTGGAGTCCGGGCCAGAGTTCTCTTTTCTGGTTTAGAGATCATGTCCCTGGAAGTGGCTCAGCCTGAGATAGGGATGCTGGTCTCGTAAAGCGCAGCGGTTCCTGTTGTGTCCCGTGTGCTCCACATGAGCCGTGAAAATACGAGGGAGGCAATTTAAAATCTCCAGCCTGATCGTACCCATATCCGCAGCTCTGGTGGAAGTCCGAAGCTCTGGTGGAAGTCCGAAGCGGTTCTGACGTGCAAATCGATCGTCTGACTTGGGTATAGGGGCGAAAGACTAATCGAACCATCTAGTAGCTGGTTCCCTCTGAAGTTTCCCCCAGGATAGCTGGAGCTCATTAGTAGTTATACTC